TTGGTCTACATGTACTTTGAATGGATGTTTTACCAGACATGGTTTTGTAACTTCATACAGTGGTCATTTGGAAAATTTTGATGTTTGAAATATTGATATATTTTATTATACAATATCCAAAAAATCACATTTTAATATTACCAGAGACCTCATCAAAAAAGTCTGCAATTACTGGAAATCTGTCAAGCTCACAGTAGTTGATACAAGTTTTCCAAAATTCTAATTTTTGTTGGAAAGCCCACATTTTATCATTGGCAACAAATATTGTCAGTTGTTTTTGTTTTTTTAAAAGATTTTTATCGAGGAATTGGGGGATGGGAACAGCGCTGGGGAATTGGGGGAAGGGGAACAGACAAGTTGCTGTCCTTTTGTTCTTCAGTCTAGTTGTGGAGGACGTTGCTTCACTGGCCCAAGTTGGCACCATCATTGAGCTCTTCCCAGGCGAGGCAGATCAGTCGCCGGCTTCTGGACGGCCGCTCATGCAGGCTGCTGCCTGCTCACGGTAGCCCATGGCAACCCACTGCAGCAGGGGCTGCAGCCTACGCCATCGCCATGACTCATGGCAGCCCAGCTCCAGGTTGAGCTGTTGTTCAGCATCTTAGCTGTAGAGGGCAGTGTCACTGGCCCTCATATGTGGGATCCGAACCGGGGCCCTCTGGCATCCCAAGCCAGCTCTTAACCAACACGCCACTCAGCCGGCCCCTCTGTTGTTTTTCTTGAAGTGATAGATTCAGTTCCTTTTTGAGACAATGTTAGCCAAATATCCAAGTCTGAATAACTATATTTTGTCCCCCACTTATTCTTTCAAATAAAAATGCTATTCCTTGAAAAAAAGTGGCATTTCAGCTCCCAGTTCAGTTGCACAAATGCCTTTGCTCTAGACAACCGTTGAGTATCAGGAGGCAGCAGAAGTGCTGTATGCATGTTTCCCATTTCATCACATTGAATATTAAAAAGAGGCATACTCAAAGGTCAAGTTTTAATAAAATTAAAATTTTGTTTTATGATAAACATTCTTTTGTGAAACTAATATATATTTTTTTCTACACATGGGTTGTGGTGATAAATATAATTACTGCTAATCTTTTACTTTCACCCATCAGTGCAAATGTTAATACAGTGAAAAAGTCAAGCAACATCTTAGCATTATTATTAAAACAATTTTGACCTCAGGACCCTCTGAAAGAGTCTTGGGGCCAATAGACATGCTCTAAACCTTGAAGGGAGTGGAGACTTTGACGAGGCATCATAGAATGAATGCCTATAGATGTTGGCCAGTAAGTAAGTGGCAGGAAGCAAGAGCAAAGGCTGGACAGGTAAGTAGGTGCCAAATTACGGAAAGTTTTAAGTACCAAGCAGGAGAGCTTGACTAGGATCCTGTGGACAACGGGGAAATTTTAATAACCATAGTTATCATTTATTTAACATTTACTGTGGGCCTGGCATTTTGCATACATTATTTAATTTACACGGCATATGCATCCTATGAAGCAAGTATTTATCATCCTCATTTGGTGTAAAGGAAGCTGAGGTTCAGAGAAGTTGAGAAACTTGCCCTACCCCACACAGCTAACCAAAGTGCAGCGCCAGAGCCCAGGTAGATGTGACTGCAAAGCTTGTACGACTTCCTCCATTTCAAGTTTCATTCCAAGCCACATTTTTCAGCTCTGCTGGGTAGGATCCTGGAATGCGTATGGTCGTAAAACATCTAGTCGGCCATGAAACAGTCTGGCTGTAAATCTTGTATATTTACTCTGGGTTCCCTGAGGGCAAAGGTCAAGTCTATTTACATGCCCAGCACATTGTGGTCACTTAATAAATCTTTAACCATAAAGGTAGTGATTTTTTATAGAGCCCAACTCTACTCCGATCCCTTTCAGCTTTTCTTGAGTTTAAAGTGCACACCCCAGGGTAAGAGGATTTTTTTTTTACCCCTAAAAAGAACTTAGAGGCCTGTGTTTCCTGAACCTGACTACGGCCTTCAGTGACCACTATCACTGCCTCCGTTGCTGCCACAATTTTTACCGCATATTTGTAAAGTAAGTGGAACTTGTTTTCCTCACCTCCAGCTGGATCTTATTCTGGAAGGAGAATGGGCTTTGGAGCAGGCTGACCTGGATTCAAATCTCAGTTCCACCACTGACAACACAGTCTCCGTTTCAGTATCGAAAACATGACTCTAATAGTGTCTTCTTCAGAAAGTTGCTAAGAAGATTAAATGAAATAGTATAAGGAAATCAGTGCTCCTGGTGCTTTTTCTTTCCCCCACAAGCCCAGTCTGGTCCCACAGAGCCGTTCTCCACCCTCCTCCACACCCCCAGGGTCCCAGGGCTTTCCCAGAAGGAGGAAGGCTTGGCCAGGACTCACCAGCTCTCACCCCGTCACCCAAACTGCCCCTTTGATCAAACATTGTCTACTTGTCCTCATACGCGGGGTAGTCGGGGTAGTGCTCTCAGCTTGCTATTACTTTACAAACTGTCTAACTAACTAATAAAAACAACAAATGCCAATAGGAATTCTAAAATATGTTCCTAATTGCAGAAGGTGTTAAGAGGTTCATTGGACAAATAATTTTAAGAAACACTGAAGACTAAACTCCCCATCCTTGGAGGGTGCAATTTAGCCTGTTAATGGTTCTAAGGAGCCCCAGAGAAAAAGAAACCTGTGTAATTTCATATAACAGCTACGCAAACTCTGTGGACTGCTGAAGATTTTTTCCATCCCACCCTCAAAAAAAGTTTTCCCCTCATACTATTTTGAGAAGCATTATCTTACTTTTACAGCTATGATTCCCTAATGATGGCATCTGAGACATGGGGCAGTCTCCACGTAGACTAAGATGACATATTGGCCCCGATCTTGAGAAGTTTGTGAACGCTAGATCTAAGAACAAAACCGGAAAGGCTGGAAATAACATTCATTTGAAAAGAATACCTAAACCTCTACCACACTCTTCAGCTTACAAAGCATTGAAAAATATATTACCTCATTCAAATATGTTATCTCAGCTTAAAAAAAGTTGTATGAAGCAGTCAAGATATGGTTATCTCCTTTTATAGGTTATGAAGTTAGGGCTCAGAGAGATGAAATGACACCCCTAGTTTGTCAGCCAGGAAGCCTCAGAGCTGAGACTAAATGCAGAGTCTGGCCAGGCTCCTGGGCCAGTGCTGAACCCAAGAGACCAGAAGAGGACAAACAGAGGAGGAGAGAAGGCTGGGGGAAGGGAGGCAGAAAGAAAAGATGCAAGCCATTCTGTGGGTCACTCACTCTGCTCATGCTACCCTGTCCACATGTGTGTCTACTTCAGCAACTGGATTTTTTGGTTTTGGTTTGTTTTTTTTCCACCAACACTGCTCTTTTCTCAGGAGACTGGTAGCCCTTTAGAGCACGAGCCAGAACTCAAGAACTGCCAAGAACTGCCAAGTCCCCGCCACTCATGAGACCCAGAAGGCAGCCGCCACTGAGGGGAGCTTCCACCTTCCACACCACCCTGGCTACCAGCCTGGCAGTGAGAAAGCACCTCTAACACACAGTTAGTGCCAAACCATCTCCTACCTTCTCTCCCGCTCCCTTTACAGCGTTCCCCCTGCCTCCCAGTGGAAGCCAGTCAGCCAGGACCATGAATGCGATACTTCAGACTACGTATCTCTAATTCAATGTTAGGCTACCTCTTCTGAGTCACCCTTGCTCTTCTTAGAAGCCAAGAGGAAAGAAGAGAGAGAAGGATAAACAGGAGGAGATAATAGAAAAAGAGATGCAGTGATCCCTTGTGGATTGGACTCCTTCTTCCTTTTGGGTTCAAGGGCATTTTCAGCATTTTTGTAAACTCTTCACGCTTAATGATGTCATCTACTCCAAATGCTTTATGTGAATTAATTGTCATAAATCTTAACTTGCCCTTCTCTCCTTAGCGATCACTGCAGTGCTCTCATCTATTGGAATAAGCTGTAATGGATGTAATGAAGACAAAGAATGCATTGCCAACATGGAAATTCTCACTTGTGCTATCTCTGGAAATAAAGCAGTACTGGTTACAGGCCCTGCTGTGCTTGGGTGCTCGCCCAGAAACTTCCATTCCTGGGAGGAGAGAGTTCCCAATAAACCTCATCTTCCTTTTTGTGTTAACAACAGCATGCTTTTCTTTTCAGGTTCTTTTGACAAGAAGAACCTTTTGGGGTTCCTTCCCAAAAAGTCAGGGTTAGCACAGTTAGAAAACATGTTGGAAAGTTAGCATGGACAAAGTTCACATTTTTAGGAAGCAGGGAGTGACTATTTCTTTGTCTGGAGTAATGAGGCAGTAGTTAATAAAATGGTATTTCTTACTAGAGAAGTAAGTCAGATGCCTGCATTAATCTAAAATATTTAAAATTAGGAATGGGGAAAAATTACTCGTTAATTTCCCCCCTCCCCACTGCAATCTAAAAAAAAGAGGCATTCTCTGTACCAAACTTCCATTTCCTGTTCACATCCTAATACATCTATTTTTCATACATGGAAAAAATGTGCTTTGAAATAAAAAAGACGCACCATTCTCATTTTATTATTTGTTAGTTCAATGGGTGGGGCTAATGATATAATTATGAAAGAAGAGCTGAAGATGTTTGTTTGTTTGTTTGTTTTTCCTTTTTCTCCTCCTCAATTTTTATGAGGAATTATATTAGTATGCTAGAGCTGCCATAACAAAATGCCACAGGCTGAATGGCTTAAACAACAGAAACTTAATTTCTCACAATTTTGGAGGCTTGAAGTACAGGACCAAGGTGTGCACAGTGTTGTTCTTTTCTGAGGCCTCTCTCCTTGGCTTGTCGATGGCCATCTTCTCCCTGTATCATCACGTGGTTTTCCCTCTGTACGTGTGGCCGTGTCCTAATTTTCTCTGTACGGACATCAGCCATATTGGATTAGGGCCCACTCTCATGATCTCATTTTTAACTGAATTACCTCTTTAAAGACCCTATCTCCAAATATAACCACATTCTGAACTATTGGGGGTTAAGACTTCAACATGTGAATTTGAGGAGACACAATTCAGCCCATAACAGGAATCATTGGTCTTATGTGTGACGGCACAATATAATAAGAAGTTAAATGAGGAATGGCAGAAGTAACTAGATGAGGATTCATAAGAACTGCCTTTTAGCCCCAGCATGGTTATTTACTGGTTATAGGACCTTGGGCAACTTTCTTACCCTCTCTGGCTACCTGATCTTTTCAAGTCAAAGGCAGAGAGAGAAAATGCACTGGATGACTTCTGAGGTACTAGGCAAATCCACCAATCCGTCATGATTGGATAGGAATCCAAGGAGAGGCAAAAGCCATAACATAGTGCTCTGATTTCTTGGTAGCCTTAGGGAGAAGTTTGCACCTCAGTCAAAGGTGCCACGGGAAACTGGTTCTCTGCTTCTTCCATATGATCACCAGAGGAAAGTCAGTGCAAGGCTTTACGTGAACGCCCAAACACGGTCAATCAAGTCTGCAACGAAGTGCACAAAATCTGATTTTGCACGCCCTGGGGTGGCCTAAGAATGACAAAGGTTATGAAACGCTTTTTTAAGATTATAAGAAAATGAATTTTCATTCACCTTTAACTTTAAACTAAAAACAAGTAAGTAAGGAGGAGAGAAGGCAAATAACCTGCAATGCGAAAGAGTGATTTCAGGGGATCTCTCTCTCTATATATATATGACTTATATACTGGGTTGTCAGAAAAGTCATGATGCATTTTTGCAACGAAAAACATAGAAAAAATACGTCATGACTTTCCTGACAACCCAATATGTGTATGGATATATATACCGGGGGTGCCAAAAAAGATGTGTACAAGTGAACACTTTGGTCAACGTTTGCTCAAGCAATAGTTTGCCATAATCAGAAGTGTCTGGATGCTGATGGTCACCACTTTGAGCACCTCTTGTAATTGCAGAAGTCAAACGTGACTTGTATTCATCTTTTGTTATCGGTATACAGTAAAACCTTGGATTGCGAGTAACGTGGTTTGCGAGTGTTCCTCAAGATGAGCAAACATTTCTAATACCTTTTAGCGTGGTAAATGAGCGATGTCTTTCCATACGAGTAGTTTGTTTCCAGAACTAATTATGCTCGCAAAGCAAGGTATTACTGCATATTGAGTACTACAATTTTAATACAGTTTCCCTTTCTTAATTGTGTATACATTTTTGGGGCACCCTCTGAATATTCCATTCAAATTATGGCTTGAACACTGCTTGAAAAGATAAGACCTGTGGAGGGAGGGAGTGAGTGCAGCTCCCAGAGAGGCCCACCTTCTCCAGGGGAGTCTCACCTGCCCTCCGCAGTGCTTACAACTTGAAAGCTGTCAGTGCTTTAGGACGCCCAGGGAACTTTCACCCTCCTGTCTCTATTGACCTTCACATCGACCCTCCAAGACAAGTTTTACTACCTATACCATTGTCCAGATCAGAAAACAAATCTCAAGCCCTGCATCCTTACAACCTTGCTGCCCAGCAGCACGTGAGCCCATTGTATGAACACGGTGTGTGCGTCAAGTCTCTGACATTCTGTGAAAAGGAAACGGTACTTTAGTGTTTGCAACCACCTTGGCTTTCCTTGACGCTGCCCAAAGTTTGGACTCGCAAATTGGGCTGTCTTACTGGCAGTGCTCCATGTTCCAGACCTGGTCCTCTTCCGCTCGTTTTACAAATGTTTGCTGAATCCTTATGACATGTTGGGCACTGTGGATAGAAATAAAGACAGATCCAGGTGCAGTCGTTTCAAGGAGCTCACAGTGCTGGAGAGATAAATCAGCAAATCAAATCTCTGTTTAGTTCCATGAATGCCACCTGGGTGGGTCCTGAGAGCTATGAAAGTACAGAGAAGGCTGATGGGTGCAGAGGGATCAGGGGATGGGGGCGGGACAAGGGAACCACAGTATCCAGCAAGAGGTGGTACTTGAGCTGAGATCTGAAGGCCCATGAGGCAGGCTAACAAGAGGGACATGAGATTCAGGTGACAGTTTGAAAACGTCAGGTCATTTGGGGTGGCTAAGGATTGGTCTAAATGTAGGAATCTGGGAGAAGATAAGTCATGAGCTAAAGGTAGAACCCCAGGTACTGCACTAAGGACTTTAAACTTAACTGTGAAGGTTATGGAGTCAAAACAGGCTGCCCCAGTCTGTCCATCCTAGTGGCATGGCTTTTGCCCAATTGATTAACTACACCATGCATCAATTTCATCACTGTGAAATGAGAATTATGATACATCTACCTCATAGGGTATCTGTGTAGATTGAATGAGACCATCAATGCAAAATCTGTAGCACATGAGGTCTTAAGAAATGCCATAAGCAGTATTGTCATCACAATCATCATTATTAAAGGAGTGCTGTGACAAGCTCTGTATTTTAGAAAATCCACTGGTTATTCTCCGCTTCCCCCACCAGATCCATTTTTAATTTTCCTGCCCTGCTCTGTCCTGGAAAGCTAACCCCAAAGACTGCACCCCCAAGCTCCTCCCCTGCCTGCTGGCTTCTTGCTTGTAGAGCCAGTAGGAGGCACAAGCAGGAGTTTGCAGAGTGAGAGAAGAGAGACAATGGGGTATTTCTTCCCTCAAAGCTCCCTGACTCGGGACAGCTGTTTTGATCATGGCTATGGCATTCCATGTCTTGGACGGGCTCTCCTGAAAGCAGAACCTGATACAAGGTCCTGAGTTTCAGAGACTTATTGGGAAAGTGATTCCAGGACTGGAGGATCAGTGAGGGCCTGACAGGAGAGGGGAAAAACAAACAAACCAAAGACTGTGACTGAGATCACTGTTGTAAGTGACTGTGGTGTTGTCTTGTGCCGCTGCGGGAACTCAGGGAACAGAATATCTCTTGTGATATCTGTCAGAGGGTGGGAAGCTTTGCATTCTTCCACCAGCTCCTGTGCCTTACCCAGTCTGCTGGGTGCCTCCAGGGCATTGCCTCCCCTTTGCTTTCCAGCTGCACTTTCAAGCAAGCCAAGCAGGTGCCGCCTCGGAGAAGGCCCTTAGAAATAAATCAGGAGGACACTTGCCTCCCTTTCGGTGGAAAGCTGTCAGGATGAGATCACAGCTGCAGCTGAAACTGCAGGGAGGCTGATGGGATGTGACAGGGACACAAAAGCGTTCGCTGTACATGCCAAACACAGTTCCTGCTGAGCTACGCTCTCTTCTAGAGCTTCAGGGCCTCCCTTTATTTTGTTTTTCCATTTTAGGCCTAGAAATAGTTTCCCTCCTGTGCTAATCTCTGTGCCCACAACCCTTGTCCATGCTTGGGGCCCCGACTCCACATCTGTAAATACTTCCTTCATCAAAGCCCTTCTGCTGAACCAACTGAGTGCAATTCTGCTTCCTGGAGGGACCCTCACAGGTACAAACAGATATATTCTGGGCTTTAAGACTATGGTTGCCAGGGTGTGAGATGGTTGCCAGGGTGGAGGGTCAGGTAGGCCACTTTTTTCAGTCACCCCATTTCAGAATGATGAAAGCATTAAATTCAGCTAAGGCAGGGGGAGAGGGAGTGAACTGGGCTGACATAGAAACGCACCTTCCCACGGAGCCTGTTGGAGAAACCACGCCATGCTGATTAGGCCTTGGCAAGGACCCTCTCCCTGGGGTATGGGCACTTTAACATGGGCCACACAAAAGCTCTGATGTCAGAGCAAACCTCTAAGAGTGGATTTCCAGAAATGATGAAATGGGTTTGGCGACAGCACTGCATTCATCTTTCTATCCTTTCTCCTCGGTGTCCTGACTTCCAGCTTCCCACCCTCTGTACTTGAAGGCTGACAATAAATGTTTACTAAATAAATCTCTACTTCTAGTGTTGCTGGTGTTCTCATATTTGTGAATAACTATCTTATTATATAAGGTTATTGTTATGGACTGAAAGTCTGTGTATCCCTCTCTCCCCAAACTCACATATTGAAGCCTTAACCCCCAGTGTGATGGTATTTGGAGGTGCGGCTTTGGGGACATAATTAGGTTTAGATAAGGTCACAAGGTTGGGGCCCCTATCCTTGATAGGATTAGTGTCTTTAATGAAAGAAAAAGAGAGGCCAGAGGTCTTTCTCTCTCTTGGCCATGTGAGACACAGTGAAAAGCTGGCCATTGGCAAGCCAGAAAGAGAGGGCCTCAAAGGACCAAAATCTGCTGACATCTTCATCTGGGACTTCCAACTTCCAGAACTGTGAAAAATAAATGTCTACTCTTTAAGCCACCCAGCCCACGGTATTTTGTTATAGCAGCCCCGAACTGACGAATACAGTCACCAAGCCAACAATGTACCTATGTGCCACTTTGTTGTATCTAAGTGATTTATCATATGCTTTATCCTTGTGGTAAGTCCAATGTGAGAGAATGGGAAATAACCCCCACTAACTTACAGAACACAATGTGAAAATAAGGTCTTTCTGATGTCTGGAGTTCAGGGCAGCTGTCCTAAAGGCTGAGAAAATAAACCAGGTGCCAAGAACGCCCACATCCTAAACGGAGCTGTCAGACCCTCCATGCAGCAGATGGGAAGCCAAGCCTTCCAGCATCATGGCAGCCCAGCAGCAGTCCCGGGCCGTGGGAGAGACAGTCAGGACTTCTCTCAGAGGCTGAAGAGCCAGCAGAGAGGACTGTTATGCCGAAGTTGCCAATGTGCTATCCGTGGAGGAGGAGAGGGAGTCTTCCTGCATGCCTAAAGCCGGGAGAGGCAGATGCGCTCCAGGAGAACCCCTCATAGAGCCTTGACAGCTGGCCCCTGGTGTTCAAGGGACATGGGCGCTGAGATCTGATTCCTACCTGGAGAATCTCCAGGTTGTGTCTGGTGATGTTTCTGTTGGTGAGCAAGGTGATTGGATGGGAATACCCAATCGACACTGGGAATATCAATGCTTCCAGACTGATGTAGGCCAAGGATGCATTTCCCATAGGCCAGCTTTGAACGTGTGGCATGTGTAGGAGAGATAATAATCCATAAAGTGTCCCACATAAGAAAGGTCAACCTCTGGGGCAGCCAGTTAGCTCAGTTGGTTAGAGTGCAGTGCTCATAACACCAGGGTTGCTGGTTCAATCCCTGCATGGGCCACTGAGCTGCACCCTCCACAACTAGATTGAAACAACTACTTGACTTGGAGCTGATGGGTCCTGGAAAAGCACACTGTTCCCCAATAAAATTTTTAAAAAAAGAAAGAAAAAGAAAAAGAAAGGTCAACGGTCCACCTGAGCCTGCTGAGAAGTGAGAACGTCTTGATTTGGGTCTCTCGTTTCCCTTTCTCTCCACCTTGCCCCTGTGCCAGTCCATGCATGGGTCGCGAGCTGGGGCCGGTAACTAGGAAAGAGGTGGGGAAAGAAAAGAAAGATGAAATTCACTCCAAACACGCACACGCTCACACATGCATGTGCACATACACCCCTTCTACGGCAGGCTTCCAAACTAAAAGTAAGCCCAAGCTGGATGTGATGGGTTGAATGGTGGCCCCCCCAAAAGATATGTCTGCATCCTGACTCCCAGAACTGATGGACGTGACCTTATTTGGAAAGAAAGTTCTTTGCAGATATAATTAGGGATTCTGGATTATCTGAGTGGGCCCCAAATCTGATGGTAAGTGTCCTTATAGGAGGCACACAAAGGAGAGACACAGGAGAAGAAGACAAGGCCGTGTAAGATGGATGTCGAGATTGGAGCAATGTCGTAGTCACAGCCAAGGAATGTCTGCAGCCACAGGAAGCTGGAAGAGCCCAGGAAAAATCCTTCCCTAGAGCCTTCAGAGAGAGTGGGAGTCTGCTGACACCTTGATTTTAGGCTTCTCACCTCCAAAACTGTGAGAAAATAAATTTCTGTTGTTCTAAATCACCCAATTTGTGGTACTTTATTACAGCAGCCATGGGACACTAATATGCCAGGAAAAGAGAGTGTTCTAAACTAGGTGAAGTTTAGAGTTTAGGCATTAGACTGGAGTTCACTTTTTGTTATATCTAAAATTTTCTGGAAAAGCAATGAGTACTGCCTGAGATTTCCTCCAGGCGTGAGGAACACACTTCAAGTTTCCTGAGGAGGGCAAGAAAGAATCAAGTTCCTTTTTCTTGTCCTCTTTCAAATTGTGCTCACTTGATAAACTGGTTTCACTTACTCCAAGGAATAAGTCCTAGGGGGTGTCCAGTGCCTTGCCTCCCACTGGCCTCGCTGCTTTTGTGTTGTTAGTTCTGCCAACAGCCTAGGAACTACACCATTGGGTCACTTTTGAGCAGTTCCCACCCGCAGTGCAGGACTACGGCTCTGAGCCCAGATTTGGGGCCATGTACCAATCCCAGCTCCAGTCTCACCAGCTGTGTGCCCCCTAGTTTCCTGTGCCTCACTTTACTCATCTGTAAAGTGAAAATAGCGGCCACTTTGCAGAGCTGTGTGATGGCACATGGTGAACACCACGAAAGTGGGTTTATGTAGCTGGGTCCTTATCTCTGCCTTAGTCCCCAAGGCCCAGGGAATATGAAATGCTGAGAAAGCACAACCTTGCCCTCTGCAAACACGTCATAGGCCTTGATAACAGGTGCCTCGGTTTCCTCTCAGTTCTAGTAACTCATCCTCAGCAAAGACTTGAGGGAATTTTGTGCTTATTTTCCCATCAGTCCACTTAAAGAAAACAAAACCTGTTTCCTTACAACTAATAATAGCCACACTGTGTGGGAGGGAGGGTATATGGAAACAGAAAGCCTGCTAACAGCCTTGAAATCAAACTTCTAAGTGGTGACAGATCTGGACAGATGCAAAAAAGCATGAAGTAGGCCTCAGGTAGCATGGCGTTTACAGGAGAAAAGGGGACGCCATTCCATCAATACAGTTAAGAGACCATACAGGCTATGTGCAATTCAGTGCCACGTTGTGTCGGGCAGACCAGAGTCGGCTGAGAGCAAGGCTCCATGAAGCAGTCTGGAAGCCACATCCTGGCCATGACTCGTCCCACCTAGTCAAGGAAACTGAGAACGTCCTGATTTGGGTTTCTTGTTTCCCAGAGGATGTTGATCCTGGGCGTGCCAGGTCATTATGTCTGACGCACATCTTTTGGCAGGGGAATGCCAGATTTTCAAAATCTGTGACTCGAACCTTGACCAGCTTTGATAACATATGGGTGTTTCCTTCTGACAGCATCCCCCTCTCACAGCTGCCACCGCCAGACTGGTGCTCCTTTGAGGCCCCAGGGTGGACAGCTTGGATGAAGCATTTTGTTTTCACCTCCTTGGCAGGGATCTGCTTCAGCACAGCTGAGCTGTTCAGAGAAAGAAGCTAGTCTTTCCAGATGGCCCCTCAAGTCTTCCCTTCCTCCCCTAGATAGAGTCTGTGCTTTAGAGCATTAATTTAGCCACAGGGACCTCATATATGCCAGAAGTGCTCCCCCCAGAGGAAATGGAAGTGTTTTGCATGGCAGCCTGCCACAGCCTTCAGCGGGAGGAGGGAAGTGGTTCCCATTGGCAACGCCACCATGTGCCGCCCTTCAGGACCCAAGTACTCATCCCCCAACTGCAGGGACTGTCAGCTGCTGACATTTCACAGCCAAGTCCCTCTGCAGGAATTGCCTTCTGCCAAAGGATGCTGTCTTTCCCCTGGGGGCAACCTGCATCCAAAGACTTGGACCCAGAGCCCCATACCCCCGGCCTCTGTAGGGATGGCTCTGCAGTGCTATCCAGCTCTAGAGCTCACTGTAGGCCCAGCTCAGGCCTCTGTCACAACTGCTTCACAACCCAACTTCTCCCTTTGCTCTATCCGGCCCCCCCCCGGCAACACCCCCCTAAAAGGGAACTCCTGCCTTTCCTCTCTTTATCAGGAAACAAAATCCTTCTCAGAAATAGCCCAGGTTGACGTCCCCACATTTTCTGACCACAACTAGTTATATACTTGACACTAAGCCAATCCGGTAAAGGGAATTAGGGTTACATACTTGACTGAGGTGAATCAGGATGTATCTTCCTCCCATTTGGCTAGCCCCAGAGTTGGGAAATGGGCTTTATTCCCTGAACATGCTCCCTAAAGAAGAAAGGAGTATGGCTATGTGTAGACACCCAACAGTGACTGCCATTGTACCTCAGGATCCAAAGTCATTTTAAAGTTTATGCCTAACCACCTTTCCAGTGATCAATGTTCAATGCTCTACTTAAATCAACGGAGACACTATTTTCTAAGAAACTATTAGAAAGTTTGTTCTTTGTAATAGAATTCTAAACTTTTCTCTGTGTTGCTTGTCATCTAGAATACGTAGACTTTCTCTTCCAAAAGCGGCCATTCCCATAACCAAAAAGCGTTTTTTCCAAGTTAAACACACCCAATCCCCCCTTCTTCATCATATGGTTTTGAAAACTTGCGCCATATTAGCTGTTCCTTTACAAATGTCCTGCAGTATTTTTCTGCCCACTGCCCACTAAATTCATGCTTCCGGTATGGTTTTACCAGCATAGCACAGACCCCAACTATTGCTTCCCATGTTTTAATCTAAGTTAATCTAGTTTTATGTACAAAAGTGATATATATTTGCAGGGGAAAGAAATAATAATTCTGGTGAGCTTTTAAAGATCACTACGAGATATTACCCTCCTTCAAATATCTTCTGCCTCAGTCTACCCTGAATCCACCCATGTCTTCCATTTCTTTCTCAACTTCCCGCTAATGCTATTCCTCTTCAAGGCTAGCTGCCTACAGCCAATATAAAATTGCATATGTGTTTCCAGAAACTGTTAACCCCCGATTCGGGAACATTCTCTTAAAGCAGTAGATTTGTATACTCAATTAATTTATTCTCCCTTTGTCAGTTTTGGAATTGCCTTCCTTGTTTTTGGTTCCTTTTTTTTTTTTTTTTTTTGTATTAATGCAGCCCAAGATCACATTGGCTTTTTAGGCACCACATTTTTTTAAGGCCCCCTCATCACATTTTCTTGATTCAGTGTGAGCTTATTATTGAGAACAAGTATTTATATGTGCTGCTACTCAGCCAAGTCTCCTCTTTCCCGTAGAATTTGTTCAGTTGGCTCCATGGGCCAAGTCCAGGGTCTTTAATTTATGCCTGTAGACTTTCATCTTCTTGGATTTGACCCATTGCTCTAACAAAAAGGCTGTTGGATACTGAGTCTGTCATCCAACAAATTCAGTATCTCTCTCTTAACAAAGTCTAGAAACTGCAATGAAGAATGTTCGTAAATGTCAGACAGTAATATGTGACTCACGACTGCTGCCAGGAATTGCAGACAATTTCACACTACATTTGTAGCTAAGCCTTTCAAATTCATGACCAAAGAGGGCAGCTTTTTCTGCATTTCCCTTTCCATTTTGCATAAGTGTGTCTTGTGAAACTGGCAAGGAATTTAATGGCTCTTATAGGAATTTGGAAAAGGTAGGCTGACCACAATTCCAGGGGCCAGAGAGGCTGGCTACACAGTGGGGCCTACCTGCCCCCATACACTGCCCTTGGTGAAAGTTTTGTTCCTGGTGTCTTCACATCAGCCTAGATACCAAGTCCAAGAGCTCTTCTCCAGCTTCTGTGATATTTACTTGGCTACTTTCCCTGCCTCAAAAGACCCTGTAATAGACTCAATAATGGTGCCCAAAGATGTCAGGTCCTAATCCCTGAAACCTGTGAATATTAACGTACATGGAAAAAAATAATCTTTGTAGATGTGATTAATGATGTCGAGATGAGGACATTATTCTTGATTAATAGGCCTTAAAGGCAATCACAGTATCCTTCTAAGAGGGAGAGAGGGGAAATTTACTACACACAGACAGAAGAGGAGGAGGCCATGTGTCCACGGAGGCAGAGACTGGAGTGATGTGGCCATAAGCCAAGGAAGACTGGCAGCCACCAGGAGTCAAAAGAGGCAAGAAATAGATCCCCCCTGAGAGCTTCTGGAGGAAGCATGACCCTGCCAACACCTTGATTTCAGCCAGTGAGACCGATTAGACTTCTGGCCTCCAGAACAGTAAAAGAATAAATCCCTGTTGTTTAAGCCACAAATGTGTGGTGATTTGTTATAGCAACCCTAAGAAACTAGCACAAACCCTGAGGTCCCCTCTAGGAAATGCCCAAGTCTTGACCCTGTCGTCCCCACTGCAGGTCTGTCTGAGTTCCTTCTACACCCCCCACATTTGGATTGCTTTAAATTCACTATTATTTTTATTGTCCCCATTTGTTGCTCACAAATACTTTCCATGCTCCTCAAGCTACCAACGCACCTCTTCACTGCTCCTTCACTGCTTTACAGAGACGAGTAAGCTGCAAGACATGGGCTCCCTCAGGTAGCTCTCTCTGTACCTTTTGATTCGTACCATGAGATATATCTGGATGA